CGACTGCTATTACGTACTACTAGGTTGTACCGTTGTAGCGCAACCCTAATTTCTCTGGACTCCTCGTTTCCCTGTGCAGTTCAACTCTCTCTCACCTGCAGCGCGATCGCCGGACGCCACCTGCTCCAAACGTCCAACACTCGCTGTATGACAGACTTTTTTGAACATTTTTTTTCTGTTGTACGCACCACCATCATCACGTCACGTCACGGAACGGAATGGTTCCAAACACTATGGCACACGAAAAGTTAATCCTTTTTCGCTAATGCTGGCATGTTTATTGTGTTGCTAAGACTCCTTTCAAGAGCCTTGGCTGATTCTCCGATACTTCGTTCCGTCCAGGGTTGTACCACTTTTGTTCCCATCTTCTGGTTCTCCTCCGTGTTGTGTAGACCTAGCAACGTCCGATACGTCCTCGATAAATGGCATGACTGTGTCAGATTATAATGCATGTCTAGTCTGTAGTGGGGTACTCAAAAGTGAGTATAACCCTTTTAGGGCTTACTACTTGTATCCCCCTGCTTTCTAGTGAACCACATTCTCCTTCTCAACTTTCTCGACACTTTTCCTAAACCTAAAACCTAAGCTACTAAGGGTCCTATACTATGGCTTCTAAGCCATTCCTTGCTACTATCTCAACATGGTATCAGAGCAGGTTCCCTAGTGGGAACTGTTCCTAGGGCCCACCAAACTTTTCTGTCCTGCCCGGAGCGCGCTCAGCCCTAGCCCGAGTCGCGCCCGGCCTTTTTTTCCTCTGGCGGCCCGATCGCGTCGCGCCGCCCTTACAGTTTCGTCGCGCCGCCTAAGCGGCTTCGTCGCGCCGCCCCAGACGGTCGCGTCGCGCCGCGCGTACCGCCCTCCAGTCGCGCGCCGCCCCTCTGGCCTCGGCGCCCACCTCCGCGATCCCGGCGCCGCCCTTGACGGCCCCGCGATCGCCTGTGACGGCCCCGCCGTCCCCTCTGCCGGCCCCGCCGCCGCATCAGACGGCCCCGCCGCTGCACCTGACGGCCCCGCCATCCCCTCTGACGGCCCCGCCACTGCACCTACCGGCCTCGCCGTCCCCTCTGCCGGCCCCGCTCGGGGCGCGTGGCGGTTTTCTGCCCGCCGTGCGCCCCGAAGCGCGCGGCGGGTTTCCTCTCTCGTCGCGGCGTCCTGGGGGCCTGTGCGCCGGCCCCGAGCGTCGCCTCGTCGCGGCGTTTCGGGGGCCCGCACGCAGGCCTCTGCCGTCGCCTCGTCGCGGCGCTTTCGGGGCCCGCGAGCCGGCCCCTCCCGTCGCCTCGTCGAGGCGTCTTAGGGGCCCGCGCGCGGTCCCCTACCGTCGCCTGTCGAGGCGCTCTCGGGAGCTCTGGAGCAGCCGCACCTGGAGCCGCCACTGCAGCAGCAGCCCCTGGAGCAACCGCCCCAGCAGCAGCCGCCCCTGGAGCCGTCACTGCAGCAGCCGCCCCTGGAGCCGCCACTGTAGCAGCAGCCCCTGGAGCCGCCGTCACTGCAGAAGCCGCCCCTGGAGCCGCCACTGCAGCAGCAGCCCCTAGAGCCGCCGTCACTGCAGAAGCCGCCCCTGGAGCCGCCACTGCAGCAGCAGCCCCTGGAGCCGCCACTGCAGCAGCAGCCCCAGGAGCAGCCGCCCCAGCAGCAGCAGCCCCTGCAACGGCCACCCCTGCAGCAGCAGCCCCTGGAGCCGCCACTGCAGCAGCAGCCCCTGGAGCAGCCGCCCCAGCAGCAGCCGCCCCTGGAGCCGTCACTGCAGCAGCCGCCCCTAGAGCCGCCACTGCAGCAGCAACCCCTGGAGCCGCCGGCACTACAGCAGCCGCCCCTGGAGCCGCCACTGCAGCAGCAGCCCCTGGAGCCGCCACTGCAGCAGCAGCCCCTGGAGCAGCCGCCCCAGCAGCAGCCGCCCCAACAGCAGCCGCCCCTGGAGCCGCTACTGCAGCAGCAGCCCCAGGAGCAGCCGCCCCAGCAGCAGCAGCCCTTGCAACGGCCGCCCCTGCAGCAGCAGCCCCTGGAGCAGCCACCCTAGCAGCAGCCGCCCCTGGAGCCGCCGTCACTACGGCAGCCGCCCCTGGAGCCGCCGTCACTGCAGCAGCCGCCCCTGGCCAGCAACTGCAGCAGCGGCCCCTGGAGCAGCCCGCACCTGCAGCCCGTCCCGTTCCCCCCCCCCCCCCCCCCCCCCCCCCCCCCCTCCCCCCCCCCCCCCCCCGTGCATTCCGTGGTGCTGGGGATGTGGGGTGCCGAGCATGGGGGTGGTGGTTGTGGGGGTGTCGGTTGTGCGTGCCGTCCCCTCCTCCTCCTTCGTCTCCCACTGCTGCAGCTATCGCTGAGGGGGGTGGATGTGTGGGAGTCTGGGGTTTAGGGTTTAAGGGGGTGCTGTGGGTGTAGGGCTAGGGTTTGAGCAGGGGGTGTGTGAGAGGGGCGTTGGGCAGCTGGGGGAGGTTGTGTGGAGGCAGCAGTCTTGTCGTCAGCAGCAGCAGCAATCCGGAGGCTACAATCTCCGGTAGTCGCCAGTCGCCCGTGGGTCCGTTGCTCGTCTGCCGCTACCTTTAGCCGCGGGGCCAGTTACCCCAGTAGTCCGGAGCGCTGTTCCGGTAGCCACTGAGCCAGCAGCTTGTCTGTGTGTCTGCAGCGTCAGCAGTCACCTCCCATCTTCTCTCCCCCACAGTCTCTCCTCCTCCTCACCTGCCCTCTGTGATTAGCTCTAGCCTTACTTACCTATTGTGAGCTCTTGCTCTATGCCTGCATGCTATACTGATTATACCCCACTTTGACTATGGGGGTGTGTCAGATTATAATGCATGTCTAGTCTGTAGTGGGGTACTCAAAAGTGAGTATAACCCTTTTAGGGCTTACTACTTGTATCCCCCTGCTTTCTAGTGAACCACATTCTCCTTCTCAACTTTCTCGACACTTTTCCTAAACCTAAAACCTAAGCTACTAAGGGTCCTATACTATGGCTTCTAAGCCATTCTCAAGCTAGTTTCTCAACAGACTGGCTCGTCTATCCTGGACTCTAACGTGTAAGCGCCACGTCACGTACGCCTCGATTGCCTATTGTCAGATTCGGTTACTTAGTTTGGCTCGCTACGTACGCTGTATTCGAATTGAGTCGACTCAAAAGTCAGTATCACTGCGTTTTCGTCCTACTAACGTCCTACCCACTTAATGTGCAAATGAGGCTCGGCACTAGAAGCAAAAGATGTAGTCATAGCCCCAGCGGAAAAAATGTTTTCCATCCTACTAAATGCATTCTCCGTCGTGCTCCCGCACTGTCTCCCCCTAACCCTTACCCTTGCAGCACGGCCACTCTCCAAACTTCCTCATTTGTCTTCCGCATTACAGGCGTATCAGGCACATCCCCATCAATATCCAGTCCTGGATACTACCGCAGCACTGGCGCCCTCCTAGCCGGGTTGCCCTGCATGTTCCAGGCAGAGGCAACAAGCGGCAGTTGGAACTGCACGCTTCAAGAAAAGGTCACGCTCATTTCTGCTTACCAGCCAGTCGGGACCATCAAGTCGTTCGTCAATGCTGGGTTGCTCACGAAGCCTTCGAGCTTCTATGTTAAGGTTACAGTTAATGGCATCGTGCTGAAGGGGTGGCTCTCAGCAAATGTGACAACCTTTTGAAAGCGTGATGTTTTTTTGGGGACGTGTTGCTGGTGCTTGGGTATGGCTAGCATGAAGCCACCCGACTTTTTTGTCTCGAGCTGCTGCCTACCTACATGAAAGCTTCAGAGTGGTTACTTGGCATGGTAGCTGAGAGACAGGGCCCAAATTTGGTTTAGGCCTACCCTTACGAATCAGGGTACCAGCCCCTCCATAGGCAGACCCCTAGGGTAAAAAATCTCTTACTCTGTTTTCAGCAGGGTAACTCTGCCACTAGCCTGATTTGAGCAGGGTAGTTTTAGGCTAATCCTGATTTTGTGTCTATTTTGAGAGTTTCCTTACTTTTTGTGACATGTTCAAGTTCTCCCTATACAGTCCTTGAAATCCACGCACGCACCACATGCATGCACAACGAGGGCCAAGCGAGAGACCCCCTCGTAGAGAAGGCGCCTCTGGCAGCCTCGACAGGGGAGTATGTTCCACGGGGCGGGCCCTGTGATGGCCAGCAAGGCAGCACTGAGGCTGCAACTGGATGTCAAGGACAGCTTGAAGCTGTCCTTGACAGCCAATTCTGCTGTGATGGCGGTGGGCGTGGCGGAAAATGACGAGGTGCAATCATTGGTGGCTGGCAGCCCTGCGGCAGAAACAACCAATGCGGATTCTTGGCGTGGGCACGAGCGACAACTGGTGTTTGTGGGGGTGTTGTACGTTTTGTCACCACGCGAACTATAGTAAGGTTCGCGTTAGAACAGATTCGGTAACAGGGTAGTGTACACCCAACCCTGATTCCGCCAGGGTAAGCTAAAAACCTATCAGGGTAAAAAAAAACATGCACTTTTGAGAGAAGGGTAACTATACAGCATTCCTGATTTCGGCAGGCAGGGTAATCCAGAGAAGTGGACAAGCCCCCAGGGTAATCAGGGTGTTTTACCCTGATATTTTGGGCCCTGCTGAGAGAGAACTAATTTCTGACTAGTGATGCTCCACCGAGCAACCCTATCTTGCGTGGTCTTAGTTTCTGTTGAGCTGAGAGAAAGGCCATAGTTTCTGATCCATTGCAATTTCCTAATACTCAAGGTCTTCCCAATAGGCCCACCGTCATACACACCCCCTCTGTAGGTGCAGGCCTACGAATTCCCATTATTAACCAGTTCTGGTACGACGTACCGTACCCTTTGTGGTTGGCAATGTTGTGCTTCAGCTGCAAAAAATGGTAAGATGATGCAAATCTCTAATGATATAGCAGCAAGCTCTCTATCATAAATAAACGAAGTAGCAGGTTGTACCGTACCATTATGCTGAGTACATACAGCACGAGGTGTAGCAGATTGCAGAAGGTGCAGGTGTAGCATAGAGTAGCAGGTACCGCATTGGGACGTGACGCTGCTTAAATATAATCATTTAGACTTTGGCACTCGCATCAGGCTGGTAGCTGCCGTAGCCCTTCGCATATGTGCCCTGAGGAGCCGCGTCTGGCGCAGGGTACTGGCCTCCACCCGCATATGCAGGCACTTCCACCGCTGCACAGGAAAGAGGGCAGATTGCTGATGGCTTTGTGACGGCCGAGACTGCGGTTTGCGGTCAGGAGAACAGAACGTTCTTGTTAGGTGGGTATAGTTGTTACGGTAGGTTTGTTTGTTGTTAGCGTGGGAGATGACGTGCTTTTTGAGTGAATGTGTGTGCTTGTTAAAGAAAAAACTTCAGTTGACAAAGGCAACGAAATACGGTAGTAGGAAATGGCGTCCCACCTTCGGTTTTCTTCCCGCACTGAATGATGATGAAGACGGTGGCAATGACGCCAACGACCAGCAGCAGCACGCCCACCACGATGCCCACGATGGCTCCTGTGGACAACCCCGAGCTGGAGGAATTCGCCGTGGCGTTGGCGTTGTTGTGGTTGTTGTTGGTGGTGGTGATGGTGGTGGTGGGGTCTCCAATGTTCCAGTTAAGGTTGTCCAGAGCTGTTGAGCGGGTATGGAAGAAGATGTTAGGGCCAGAGAGGTGGAAAAAGAAAACGTGGAATGAGGGGAATGTGGAATGAGGGGAATGTGGAATGAGGGGAATGCGAAATGGGGAATGATGAGGTGACACCGAGAGCATCCTGATGGTCCATGAAAGGTCTACATGCATGTTGGCCCTGGTGGTCAGCGACTGAGTTGTTAGCATAAGGAGGTGGAGTGAAGGGAAGGTGCAGCGCGGTGAGAAAACAGGTGGAGCGAGGTGAGAAAAATGGAGCAGCGGGGTGAGAGGAACAGAGTGTGGGAAAGTGGTCCGCTTGTTCATCCTGTGACTGATAACTAAATCATTCCAGCCTTTTTTTTTTTTTTTTTTTTTTTTTTTGGCAACTGTATCCAATTAGGTTCCTTTGTTAAATCCAACTCACGATTCGTTTTGTCACAGGTGGAGCAGAAGTAGGAGCACCACAGGCACAGCTGACTGCCTGAGCTCTGCTCCACCACGCAGCTAGTGTACTCCTTGGGGCACTCGGGGCCGGTTCCCAGCCACCTGGAAGGGGGAGTGGCGAGGGAGAAAGGAAGAAGCAGAGGAGACTTTTGATTCTACTCAAAATACACAGCTGCTGCCTGAGCTCTACTGCGCCACAGACTTTTGATTCTACTCCTTGGGGCACTCGGGGCCGGTTCCCAGCCACCTGGAAGGGGGAGTGGTGAGAAAGAAGGAGGACTGGGGAGGTTTTGGGGGGGAAGAGGGGGGGAAGAGGAGGAGCTTGCAAAGACGGGAGGTGAGGCTGGAAGTGAAGGGGAGTATTTTTGCGACCGTTTCTGCACTTGTGGAATCGTGTGTGTGTGTGTGTGTGTGTGTGTGTGTGTGTGTGTGTGTGTGTGTGTTTGTGTGTGTGTGTGTTTGTGCGTGTGCCCGTGTGTGTGAGCGTAACCATATGTCTGTGTGTGCAATCCATGGCTGCTCACAAGTTACGGAGCTTGGGGATGGAGCCCAGGCCTGCGGGAATTGGTCCAGAGAGGAAGTTATCAGACAGGTCCCTGCACACACGTGTGAGTCGCCGGAAAGAGGTTAGAAGAGGCAGGGTGGTATGAGGCAGGTGAGAGAGGGGATGAGGATTGAGAGCGTAAGGATGGAGCCTAGGCCTGTGGGAATCGGTCCAGAGATGAAGTTATTCAGACAGGTCCCTGCACGCATGTGTGAGTCGATAGGGAGGTTAGAGGAGGCAGCGTGGCACGAGGCAGGTGAGAGCGGACGGGGATTAGGACGAGGGATGATACCAAATTATTCTCCCAGATGGTGCACTCCATACTGGGTCTGGGTGTGAAGTGAATGTACGCTGAGAGGAAAGATATCGAAGTATGCTTCATGATAAGAGTGAGAGAAAACTGACTAGAGAGAGTAATCAGTGAGGGCAGCACCCATACTACAGGGGCGAGGGGTAAATCTCTGTTAGGCCAAGAGTACAGCTCTGTGATTACTTGGGGGGCAGAGGATGTGAAGACTTGCTACTGAATCGAGTCAGAGGGGCTAGAGAGGCGAGGCTTACAGATTTGTGAGGCCTTGGAGGTTGGTGATGGTATCAGGGATGGAGCCGTTGAGGCTGTTGGTGCCCATGTCAAAGTGGTGACTTTTGAGTCGAATAGAAAGTCAGGTGGGGAAAGAGGTAGCCGCTTACAGATTTGTGAGGCCTCGGAGGTTGGTGACCGTATCAGGAATGGAGCCGTTGAGGCTGTTGTTGCCCATGTCACTGCCGCATGCCACAACCAATGAGGGGATAGGGGGATGGGGGATGGGGGGAGGGGGATGGGGGGATGGGGGGATGGGTGAAGAGATCACTTTTGGGGCGCCTCAATGGTATCAGGAATGGAGCCGCTGAAGCTGTTGTTGCTCATGTCACTGCCGCATGCCACAGGGGATTGGTGGATGGGTGTAGGGTTGAGACGGAGTGATGAGATGGGAGCGATGAGAGGGAGTGATGAGATGGGCTGATGCGATGGGCTGATGCGATGGGCTGATGCGATGGGCTGATGCGACCGAGGGATGGAATGGAGCGGGATTGGTGAGGAACGCAAGGGATTGGTGAGGAACGCAAGGGATTGGTGAGGAACGCAAGGGATTGGTGAGGAACGCAAGGGATTGAGAGGCATATGGAAGCTGCTGCCAATATCAGGGTTCACTCGGATGTATAATTAGCCTCAGCACTCACATGTGAGCAAGGTTAGTAAGAGTCATAAGCTCTGGAGGGATAGGGCCGTCCAACACGTTGCTACTGAGGTCACTGCAAGGATGGGGAAAGTGAGAGGAGAGCAAGTGGGTCGAAGAGGAAGGAAAGAAGACAAGGGAAGGAGGACGCAGTGAGAAACAATGAAAATGGTAGATGGGGGAAAGGCGCGAAGAAGCGTATAAGCTATGGGAGAGAGGGACAGTGAAAGTTGAGGTGGATTTTCTGCGTACAGGTATTCGAGGCTGGAGAGAGAGGCGATGCTGGATGAAAGGGTGCTGAAAGAGTTCCTTGAAAGGTCGCTGTTTGCGCACAGGGAGGGAGGGAAGGAGGGATGGGGTGAAAAGGTATTTGAGAGGGTCTTGTGGGAAAGGAGTAAGCATATGGGACAGAGTGGGATAGTTGACAAAGATACAAGTAGGGAAAGCGACCTGCCTCTACAGTTTGTTTTCAAGTGACTCATGTGCTGTGCTTCAGGCTAATGCACTCACAGGTGCTTCAGGCTAGTGCAAGCACAGGTGCTACAGGTTAGGTTAGTGCACTCACAGGTGCTTCAGGTTGGTGAAAGCACAGGTGCTACAGGTTAGGTTAGTGCACTCACAGGTGCTTCAGGTTGGTGAAAGCACAGGTGCTACAGGTTAGGTTAGTGCACTCACAGGTGCTTCAGGTTGGTGAAAGCACAGGTGCTACAGGTTAGGTTAGTGCACTCACAGGTGCTTCAGGTTGGTGAAAGCACAGGTGCTACAGGTTAGGTTAGTGCACTCACAGGTGCTTCAGGTTGGTGAAAGCACAGGTGCTACAGGTTAGGTTAGTGCACTCACAGGTGCTTCAGGTTGGTGAAAGCACAGGTGCTACAGGTTAGGTTAGTGCACTCACAGGTGCTTCAGGTTGGTGAAAGCACAGGTGCTACAGGTTAGGTTAGTGCACTCACAGGTGCTTCAGGTTGGTGAAAGCACAGGTGCTACAGGTTAGGTTAGTGCACTCACAGGTGCTTCAGGTTGGTGATTGTGCTGAGATCGTTGGGAATCGCCCCAGATAGGCCGCTGCTGGACAGCTCACTGTGATGGCAGAGATGGAAGGGGGTCGGGGGTATTTAGCAAGCCTCTATGCCACATCGATTCAGGGACCACTTATGAGAGAGGCATATGATGCTTCTCTCGCCTAGTTCTTCGATTCTTCTTCTAGATTTGTGTTTTCTTCCTTTCTTCCTAGCTGATCCTTGGACTGAAGAGCAAAGAAAGAAAGGGAGATTGCGGAAATTAACCTAGGACGCGCTCATACTGTAGGGCAGGGAGGTGAAGAAGTCACTGATGCGCATGGGAACATAGAAAAGGACTTCAGGAGTGGTCCCGAAGCACAAGGCACTTACAGGAAAACGAGGTTGGGGATGCTTCCAAGGCTGGCAGGAACAGGGGCTCCTCCGAAATCCAAGTTGTAAATCTTGCTGAGGGGTGGGTGGGTGGGTGGGTGGGTGGGTGGGTGGGTGGGTGGGTGGGCGGGCGTGTACCTTGTACCTCTTGCTGAGGGGTGGGTGGGTGGGTGGGTGGTGGCTGGTTCGAGCGCACAGGGTATGAATGGATGCATGGGTGGAAGTAGGTGCCTGCGCGCCTGTGTGCATCTGTGTAGATTCATGTGTTTGTAATTGCATGCAGCGTGTATGCATGCATGTGTGTGTGCACCCCGGGGGTGAAGGGTGGGGGGGGGGGGGGGGGGGGGGGGGGTTGGAGGGGGGACGGGAGGGGGAGGGGGGGGGGGAGAGGGGGGATGTGGGTGCGTGGGTGCGTGCGTGTGTGTGGATGTGTGGGTGCGTGGGTGTGTGTGTGTGCGGGTGGGTAGGTGGGTGAGCGTGCGTGAGTGTGTGTGTGTGTGTGAGCGGGTGGGTGGGTGGGTGTGTGTGTGTGTGTGTGTGCGGGTGGGTAGGTGGGTGAGCGTGCGTGAGTGTGTGTGTGTGTGTGTGTGTGTGTGTGTGTGTGTGTGTGTGTGCGTGTGAGAATGATGATGATGTTTTTCCTAAATGTGGGGGAGGCGTGTGAGCAGGGAGATATCGGACGGGTGTATGTGTACGTGTGTGGGTCTGTGTGAGAGTGAAGATGCTTCTTACATGTGGGAGAGGCGTGTGAGCAGAGAGATATCGGACGGGATGCTGGCGTAAACGTCATGGCCAAAGTAGGACGATATTCTGCAGAAACGGGAGCGATTGGAAGCGCAAAGAGAGGGTAATGAACTGAGGCAGAGAGGGAAGACGCAGACATTCCACCAGATTCAGGGTGAAAGGAACGTAATAGTGACCCCTGCACTCCCTGACCAGCAGCCTTCCTGAGGAAGAAGCTGACCTGAGCCGGCTTCAAATCTTTGCTAGGCTTGAGAGACCAGTTGGTAATTCTACGTATTACTTGCTGGTCATGCGCTGCAAGGTGCTCCATTTCCACGCCAATAGTCTCAAATACCACTGATTGTTGGTATGTGGAATGACGTAGCAATGGAGCCGCAATGGGGTTGGTCACGCTGCAAGGTACTCAGCGCGGCAAGGTCACACACCTGATTTCGGTGACGTAGCCGTCAGCGGCGTTGCAGAGGGCCCATGAGGGTGGATGCGGTTTCAGTTGAATTTGGGTCCACTCAAAAGTCAACGCGGTGTGAGAAACAAACACGCCGCGCACCTGATTTCGGTGACGTAGCCGTCGGCGTCGCAGAGGATGGCGCCCATGAAGGTGGACGCCGTGGTCGGGCACGTGTCGTCACTGCTCACCAGCGTGTAGTTCAGCCCTGCCTGCACGGCCTTCAAGGGGGCGACTGAGGAGCGATAGAACGAAGGGAGGAGCAGAGCAAGAGGTTTTTGTTTGTTTTATTTTGTTTGTTTGTTTTTTCTTTTTTAAATTAATTCATAAATTTATTCTATTTTCACGGTGGCGGCGGCGGCTAGATTTTCCTCTCAACCTGGCGCGGGGCCTTCTGAAATTCAGGCATGGGTTGGCGGGGTTCCTCTCGGAAATATCTAGGGATTTTGCCGGACCGTCTTGCGCCACATTTGACTCTTCGTCTTCAGAATGATAAACGTGCGTGCAGGTGCACTCACTTTGCGACGCATCGAGGCTGACGCTCTCCGCTCCCACGAGGCGCGACGCGAGATGGTCGTGGACGCTGAGCGCCAGCAGCAGCATCAGCCCCGTGATTGAGGTCGCCGAGCGCTGGGAAGAGCGACAATTCAAGGACAGCCGCATAGTCGCGATTTTGTTGAGCGGCAAGTCTTCGTGAGAACGTGGGTGACACCTGTTCGAGAACGGCGATATTCGATTCTAGTCGTCGGACGAAATCTCAGCTTCGTTATTCTGGAAAATGATCACCGCCGGTTGTCTGACTGTGAACGGAAGAACAAGAGCAAACCTAACACAAAGAAAGCTGTGGCAAAAGAAGGCTACTTTCACTTGAATTTTGAGCTCTGGTTATGGTTGTGTGGTTTTTGAAGGTGGGGAAAAGCACAGGGACTGGTTTCGTCCACTGCTGGTAACTTTTGAAAATCACGACGCCAGTCGTTCGCTAGATTACAAATGGGCATTTATCTTAGCGGTAACACTCATTGGGGTCGATCGCACGCAAGGTAAGCTACGCGTCCAAATCGTAACTAAAGTATCTTCCGATTGCCTCCATGGTAACCAATGTGCCAGTTTGGTCAACATTATTTCCAGAATGGTAATGAACAGTGCATTCCGAAATCCCAACTGGTAACTCGTCAGAACATCCGCGATGTACACCGTACGTACCCTGTATGACTCGGCAAAACTGAAAATGAGATGGATATAGGCTTCGCATTGTAACATATTTGTTATAATTTCACGTTTATAACTTGAACATGTGTAGATGATAGTAAAACAATAAATGCTATTATGTTTCGTCAGTCTGACGCGACGGCTGACCAGGCCTTGACCGAGGCGTTGACCCCGGACCAAGTCAAGGCCCTCCTGTCCCTGTTACAGCAGCACCCCGCTAGCGCGATCGCCGCCGAAACTACACAACCTGCTGCATCTGCATCGGCTAAAAACGACATTGCAAAAAAGGAAAAAGGAGCAAAAGGACCATCAACGCGCCGCCACGACAAGGAGGCCGTTACCAGCGCTCCTGAAGCTGCAGCAGTCAACAACGACTCCGACGACTCAGACGACGACGCCGGTGAGGCTCCGAACAACACAACAAATTTTCCCCCCATGGAAAATCTCCCTCCCCTCCCTTGCATTAACCCCACTTTTTCGGCGGCAAACTTCATTGACCCGCTCGTGCGAGCGAAAGTGGAGCCCCTGGAGGACCTGAGGGCCTACCTGAAGCACGCGGAGTACAAACTGCAGCGCGGCGACGCGGCGGGTGGACTTGAAATGGTCGCGAGCGCCCTCGACTACATTTCGGAGCGCTACGACATGCTTCAAGTCGAGGACGCCACCGACGATCGCGTCGCCAAGCGGTTCAAGATGTACAAGCAGAAGAGCCTCCTTACCTCCCGCCCGTTCAAGCAAGCCGTCGCCGACGTGGCAGCGATAGATCGCGCGGAGGGTGCGCACGCTCGATCCCACCGCGGCGGAGGTCGCGGGCCCATGGCGTTCAACCCCAAGCGCGGCCCGCCTATGGGGAGCTTCCACGGCTTCCGTGGGACATGCTTCCGCTGCGGCCAGCCGGGGCATGTGGCAAGTGGCTGCCCGCGAAATGGCAATGGTGGCCAAGGACCCGCACCCGTGGTGTAGGGATGGTCCTTGAGCGTTTGCGCCTTAGCGCGCGTGGCACGGTGCACGTCAAGTGCGTTGACCGTGGGCAACCCAAAGGGGTTTGCGGTGGCTATGAGCCAAGCCCTAGTTAGGGGTGATGATTAGGCTATAGGCCTAGGTGGCAGGAGAGGGACTAGAAAGCCCTTTGGTCCCATAATTTGGCCCGTGCGGTGCGGGGCGGATGCATGCTAGGAAGCATGGCTATGTGTGGCCCGTTTCTTATAAGGGCTTTATTTTTAAAGAAGTACTTTCTGATCTTGGCTTTGGATGACAAAAAAAAAAAAAAAAAAAAAAACCAGAGAGCGACAAAATGGCAAGCACCCACACGAACCCGAGCAAACGGCACCACCATTCGTTGGCATTGGTAGCCTTTATATTGGCCACGAGCCAAAAAGGCATGTCATGGATAAAGGGAAAGCAAGAGCAAATGCAAAGAGTGAACGAGAGAAAGATAGAGAGAGAGAAAGAAAGAGAGAGAGAGAGAGAGAGAGAGAGAGAGAGGGAGAGAGAGAGAGAGAGAGAGAGAGAGAGAGAAAGAGAGAGGGAGAGAGGGAGAGAGAGAGCGAGAGGGGAGAGAGAGGCGAACCGCGTCACACATGGGTGACAAACGATGATTACGACTTGTTGATGTGTCTACGCACGCGTTATCGCATGCACATTCCTGAGACACGATGGCTTGCATTCTAACACCTCTGCGCCATTGTCACTCGGCAAACATGCAGAGATAACACGACACGAGACGCTAGGCGACGGAGATCCGTACGAGTTCGCCGTCACTGACAAATCTGTCACGCAAATGCGCGGGCGGCTTCGCGCAACCCTTGCATGGTGGAGCTCGTGGTGCCCCAGCAGCCTCATCCTCTCCGTCATCGCTAACGGTTACTGGCTGCCATGGAGCCACAACCCACCACAACCGTTTCACGAGCGCAACCACCTCGGGGCGCACACGCATGCTGCGTTCACACGCACTGCCATTCGCGAACTTACCGAGACCGGCGCGGCGGTGGTCACCCCAGCAGCGGAGCTCACATGCATAAGCCCACTCAACGTGGTTGAGCAACGAGAAAAATGCAGGCTAATCCTCGACCTCAGAAAAGTGAACGCGCACCTGACCATCCCTAAATTCAAATACGAAGGCCTAAGCCGCGTGGCCGACCTGGCACGCATGGGAGATTGGATGTTCTCCATCGACCTCAAATCGGGATACCACCACATCGACATACACAACTCTTGCTGGAAATTCTTGGGCTTCGAATTTGAAGGGCGTACGTACGCCTTCCGTTCACTACCCTTTGGCCTCGCCACGGCACCATTTGTCTTCACGCAGCTCATCAAACAACTAGCCAGGCGCTGGCGTGAACAAGGCGTTCGAGTGATACCCTATGTGGACGACATCCGGTTGTTATGCACGTCCAAGGCCCACGCACAAGCAACATGCCAGCAGATAATTTCGGACCTCAAGATGGCGGGCTTGGTAATTAACGCGAAAAAGTCGCAGCTGCTGCCATCCCAACATCTGCGATTCTTGGGCGTCGAGTTGGACACCAAATCTGGTCAATTCTCAATTGGCACCGATCGACGGGCATCACTTCACGCACACATTCGGAACCTACTGGACGCAAGCAAAGCGCGCCGACAGGTTCCAGTCCGCCACCTGGCCAGAATCACCGGCACACTCGCGTCGATGGCCGTCGCACTCGGCGCCACGACGCGTGCATTCAGCCACGCCATGCTACAAGCAATTAACGACGCGCCATCCTGGGGAAGCAGCTTGAGCATTTCCCCCCCCGTTGCTGAAGAGTTGCAGTTCTTGCTTGAAGAGTTCGACAAATTTAATGGCGCACCATTCCACGTTCGGAACAGTTATGACGCGGTAATTCACGTGGACGCCAGCTCTCATAGTTGGGGCGCCACCCTTCTCACCTTCCCTGGTGAACTCGAAGAGGCAAGCGCAGCCATGCCAGAACCATTGCGAATGACGTCCAGCACTCGGAGGGAAATTGAAGGCGTCCTTTGGGCCCTTCGAACGTACGCGAACAAGGTTCAGCAAAAACACGTGCTCGTGAGGGTGGACAACCAAGGGGTCTTTTTCATCCTCCGCAAAGGCGGCTCTCGCACCGCCGATCTCACCACCGCTTGCAAGGACATCATCCGCACGTGCATGGAGCTCGGCACTCGATTAATTGTTGAATGGATCTCGCGCGAGCTAAACTCCCATGCAGATGAGCTGTCCAAAATGATCGACCACGACGATTACTCCTTGAAAAAACCATGGTTCCGCATCCTCAATCGTCGTTGGGGTCCCCACTCAATCGACCTTTTCGCAAGCCCAAACAACTCGCAGCTGCCACGATTCTGCTCAAAGATACCACACCTGGAGGCCACTGCAATCGACGCATTCTCGATTTCATGGTCGACCGAGAATGGCTTCGCGTTCCCGCCACCCCAGTTAATCCCAGCAGTCATCCACCACGCACAACGCACCCACGCCTCACTCACCCTCGTTGTCCCACATTGGCCAGAGGCAACCTGGTGGCCGCTCCTACAACCCTCCCCACCTAGCTGGGCCCCGCATATCCAAGCACAAATTCCCCTGACGCACGGCAGCCAATGTTTAGCAGTAGGCTCGCACCACACCGCTTTCTCAGGCACAGGATTGCCTCATAGTACAATCGTCGCATTACGAGTGGTCTTCAACTAACCCATCTCGTCCTCCTTCGCGCAGACGTACTGCCAAAGCTACAAGTACAGCTTCTAAAGATGCTCTCACAGTCTCGTGCTGACTCAACGATCCAAACGTACGAGCCATACTGGGTCAAGTTTCGAGCCTTCTGTGCAAAGGTGGACCTCCCATTCCTCCCCGCGGCAGACATGACCCTCGCACTATACCTGGTGTACGCCATCAAACGCAAGGCCACCCTATCCATGGTACAACTCACCTGCTCAGCCGTGAGCTTCGCCCACCGCATGACTGGGAGCGCATGCCCAACGGCAGGACCATTCACCACTCAAGTACGCGACTTTGCGAAACGACACTGTCCTCGCCCCACGAGAGTGAAGGAGCCAGTCTCGCTGCAACAAGTCCGTGACATGTCGGCAGGATACCTGCGATCTGACAACCCCGGCGAATTCCAGAAGGGGCTCATCCCCATTCTCATGTACTCCGGATTCCTGCGATACTCAGACCTCGTCGCCATCGAGTGGCAAGACATCCAGTTTGACGACGAGGTCATGTGGATCCTAATTCCGCACTCCAAGACGGACCAAGCTGGAAAAGGCACATGGATACCTATCGCCGCAACACACGATCCGTTCTGCCCTGTCCGCGGCACTCAACGACTCATTCGACTCGCCGGATATGATCAGCAATCAAGGGGGCCGCTGATTCGCACCTTCGGTCATGGTTCCACCCAAGGTGGCCAATCAAGGCCACCGTCGTATCCGACAATCCGAAACTGGTGCAAAGAGGC